AAATCATTTGAATTATTTCACAGTATTTTTAGGAATAGAATAAAATCTTTAATAAAACTCTTATTTTAATCTTAATTTAATAATACCTGAAGAGTTTGAGTTTGCGGATTTCCTTCTCGATTCTCTCGATTTTCTCTCTCTCTTCTATCATCCCTATCTCTATCTCTAAGATCTCTTCTACGATCCCGTCCTCTATCTCTCCCTCTACCTCTGTCTCTTCCATGATCCATTCTGGAGTCATTACTTTCTCTATCTCTATGAGATAAATGCGTCTCTCTGTCTCTTCTTTCTCTACTTTCACGATCTCTGTCTCTTTCCTTATAATCTCGATGCTGTTATTAAATGTACATCAAATTAAGACAATTTTATAGAACAATTTTATATATATTTACCTCTGCTTGTTGATTAGATTCTATTCGTTCTTCATTTTGTGACGGTTGCTGCTCAGACAAATTATTTTTATTTTTTGTTCCATTTGAGCTTTGTGGCATAGCATCTTCCATTTCTACATCCATATCGTCAGCAGAATGTTGTTGAGGTAGTTGCATTTGCAAAGGTGCAGAAGGTCCTACACCATATGGTTGGCGTAACATTGGTAAATTTGGCATACCTGTTTCTGTAGTTGGTGGTGGAACTCCTATTGGAGGAACATTGTGTGGCATACCTAACAAATTTTTTATTTTACATTAATTTATGTTATATTATTTCAATTTTTGTGAGTTTTAATATTTTGTGAATTGTTTCCATATACGTACCAGTAGAATTGGGTTTATCGGAAGGTGCAGCTGGAGCTGGTAAAGGAATTTGAGTTAATAGACCGACGCCAACACTTGCTCCAAATGGAGAATTTACAGGTGGCGTTAACATAGTTTGCATCATTCCTGGTGGTCCTAATAAACTTTGCATATTTGGGGGTGGTACACCTATGGGAACATTTGGCATTAAACTATGTGCCATTGGTAATCCCATTGGTCCAATCATACCTAAATGATAAAAAAAAAAGGATATAAAATGATAAACTTAGAAATATGAATAAGGAAATTCTTTTTAATTAGAATCTTTAATTTTTTTAATAAACACTTACGAGGAACTCCTGTCATTGTAAAAGCAGGTGGCATCATCTGTAATTGTGTATTCGGTGGTGGCAAAAGTGCAGCTGATGTAGGAGGTCTAATTGGCGGAGGTTGACTCGTATCGATAACTTGTTGCTGCTGTTGACCTTGTTGTTGCGTTTGCTGTTGCGATTGCTGCTGTTGAGCACTAGTTGATGGTTGCATTACATTCACAATACCATCTGTCAAATTTGGAATTCCAGCAGCTGCAACTAATGCTTGTTGTTGCAATTGTAACTGTTGTTGAAGTACATCTGCATTTGTCCCGGAATGCTTTAATTTGCCTATTAATGTTTTGTAACGATTGGCATTTATTATCACAAATTTAGCTTAAAATATAGCATCCTTTTACCTTTAAGATTGGGAGGTAGGGTGTCCTCATCAATCATACCTCCTTCTTCTAATAATTCTAAATCTTGATCAGTAACATTAAGTAATTTATTCCAAGGAATATAACTAACTCCCAATTCAACTTCCCAATAATCTTTCCATTCTTTTCCTTTCACTCCTTTTCCCGGTGCCCAAGCTAACTAAAATATAAAAAAGAAAATTTTTATTATTTTAAATAAGACAAAATTTTATAATTATGTGATAACATGTTTGTAAACATATTTAATTTAGAAATAAAAATACATTAATAAATTTGGAAATGATCAAGTGTTAACTTACAGTGATTGCCTTTCCCTGCATTTTATGATTTTTGAGCTTAGTAAGAGCTCTGTATGCATCTTGTCTTCTATTCATACATATAAAGGCGCAGCCTCTAGGTGAAATTAGATCTATACTGACAATATCACCAAATTCTCCAAAAGTATCTGAAAGTTCTTCTTGATGTACTAATTTTGATAGATGCCCCACCCAAAGAGTAGTACTGCAAACTGTAAATAAATATGTTAAACTCATGAAAAAAGAACAAAAGAAAGAAAAATAATTTTTCAAGACAAAAATAAATATATATGAAAATAAGTGAAATTACCGCTTAATTTATCTCTCACAATTGGCGGCAATCCTCGTTTACGCCTCTCTCTTTCTTTTTCTCGTTCTTCCTCGGTCATTTTTTCTCGACTATCCTCTCGTTTTCTCTCACGACCTCTGTCTCTTGAACGAGACCTATAATATAATAATATTTAATTTAATATCAAATGATCATAACAAAGTACACAAAATAATACATAAATATATATTGTAAAATAATACATGTAAAATTACCTTCTCCTTCTAGATCTGCTTCTTGATCGAGATTTTCTATCTCTGTCTCTATCTCTATCCCTATCTCTATCCCTATCCCTATCTCTATCTCTATCCCTATCTCTATGTCGTGGTGATCTAGATCGACTGTGATGTCTGTATCGATCAGGCGATCTACTTTGTGATCTTGTATTTTCACAATTTACTATTTCTACACTGCTACTATCTCGTCTTGCACTGTTCCTATAAACAATTATTTATTAATTAGTTGCAATATAATAATGTTATACATTAAATTAGCTATTTGAATTAAATAAAAAATTGAATTTCATGAAAAAGAAAAAATAAATATATCTTTTATTCTAATTTATAAAAAGGAAAAATGTTTACCCAGAATAATCTTGCGTGTCTTGCCGTTCATCGAGAAGCGGACTCTTTTGATTTTGATGCGCCTGCTGATTTATCTGCCTAATATTTGTTAAAGATTGAGAGGCATATGGTAGAGCAGGTGGATAACCAGGAGGTGGTTGACTCATATCTTGTATGACTCCGCTACTTACATTTGTTGTATAAGTGTTTTGTTGACTTGGTTTCAAAATATCTGATGGTTTTAATTCACATTCAGATGCAAATGGTAAATTCTAAAATAAAAATCGATTTTGATCAATATAATATGTTGTTATATAAAATTTTCCTTTTTTTTTACTCAAACAAAAAAGGAAAAAAAAATATTTTTAGTATTCATACAGGAACAGTTTGAGCTAGATGTTTATCAAATTCTTCTTCCTGTTGCTTCATTTGCTGAAGTTTCCTCATTTTTTCTTCTGTTTCGTGCTGTGATGAAGTACTTCCTTGCATTGTTTGTTGCAATG